CTCTGACTATCCAGAACATAGAAGGGCCTTCAATTTCTGAAGCCTTCTTCACTTCCTTTCTTATTAAAGTATTGTAGTTTTCATTGCAGAGGTCTTACAATTCCTCGATTAGGTTTAATTTCTAAGTATTTACATTTCTTGATGCTATTATAAAAAGTATTATTTTCCTAATTTCTTTATCACTGACTTCATTAAGGTGTACAGGAGCACTACTGATTTTTGTGTGTTGACTTTGCATCAGGCTACTACTGAATTGTCTATTAACTCTAGGAGTCTTTTCATAGATTTTTGGAGGGTCTTCTACATAAAGGGTCATATATTTATATAATGATAATTTGAATTCTTACTTCCTAAACATATCCCTTTTATTTCTATCTCTTGCCTGATTGCCCTGGCTAATGTTTTGAGTACTATACTGAAAGGAGTGACAGTGGATATCATTGTCATCAACTTTCCCCCATTCAGTATGATGTTGGCAGTAGATATGCATAAATGGCTTTTATCACATAAAGACAAGGTCCTTCTATACCCATTTTCTCTGTGTTTCTTAATCATGGATGTATACTGGATTTTGACAAAAGCTTTTCTGCATCTATTGAGATGATCAGGTAGTTTTTGTCTTGGTTTAGGTTTATGTCGTGTATTATACTCATTGATTTGTGTAAGTTGGACCCTCCTTGCATCTCTGGGATGAAGCCTACTTGGTCACAGTGTATGATCTTTCTGAGGATTTGTTGCATTCTGTTTGCTGGTATCTCACTGATACTTTTTGCATATAGTTTCATTAAAGAAAATGACCAGTAGTCAGTTTTTAGTTGGTTCCTTGTCTGTTTCTGGAATTAGGACAATGATAGCTACCAGGACTGAGTTTGAATTACTCCTTCCCTTTCCACTTCATTAAAGAGTTTGAAGAGTATCGGCATTATCTCCTCCCTGAAGTTCTTGCAGATTTCATTGGGTCCTGGGCTTTTCTTAGTTGGCAAGTTTTTTATTACTGCCTCAGCTTCATTGCTTTTTATTTGACTGTTCAAAGTTGTACTTCTTCTTCATTCAGTTTTGGTAGTTTATATGTGTCTATGAATCTGTGCTTTTCTTCAATATTCTCCAATTTGTTGGAGTACAATTTTTCATAGTAGTTACTTATGACCTGCTAGATTTTGGCAATATCTGTTGTGATTTCACATGTTTATTTCTACTTGCATTCATGTGGGTCTTTTTCCTTTCTTCTGTTCATAAGCTTGGTGTCTTAGTGACTTTTCTCTCCTTACTGAGATAAAATACCTGACACCCAAAGTTAAAGGTGGAAAGGTTTATTTAGCTCACAGTTTGTGGAGAGTTCAGTCCATAGTTGGCTGGGTCCAAGGCAGGGTGGCACATGGCAGAGGGGCAACAGTTCATGGTGGCTCAGGCAGAGGAAGACAGTAAATCAGCAAGAGAGAGAAAGGCAACCCTCTTTCTGTCCCTTACATAGTATCCAGTCTACGGGGACTAGTGCAATGCTGATCAAATCAGGGGACTGACCCAGCAATCATCTGCCCTTAATCCCAGCACCCTTCATCCCAGCATTGCATTATGAGTCAATCACACACTAGATTCAACCTATTCAAAAAAAAACAATATGACCACATGAGGTGTAGGGGGATATCTAAACACAAACAATAACACTTGGGTAAGAGTTTATCTATTTGGTTTATTCTTTCAAAGAACCAGGCTTTCAATTCATTCATTCTTAATATTTTTTTAGTCTCAATTTCATTAATTTCTATTCTGATCTTTATGATCTCTTTCCTTGTACTAGGTTTAGGTTGGAACTATTCTTGTTTTTCTAGTATTTTGAGGTGTGTAACTAGGCTATTTGGGGGAACTGTTTTTCTAATGTGAGCATTGACTACAATAAAATTCTCTCTTAGGCCTATTTTCATTGTGAATCAAAGTTCTGATATGTTGTACTACATTATTTAATTCTAGTAAATATTTTATTTCATCCTTGTTTCTTGTGTGTCCCACTGAGTTTTCAGGAGTGTGTTTGTAAAATTTTTGCACTTTCTTTTGTGATTGAATTCTAAATTTAGTGTGCAATGATCTGATTATATACATGGAATGACTTCAATTCTTTTGTATTACTTAAGCACGTTTTATGGCCTAGTGTGTGGATGGTTTTGAAAAAAAAGTCCCATGTGCTATGGAGAAGAATCCTGTTGTAGTAGCTTAGAATACTCTGTAGATTTCTATTAAGCCCATTTATTTGAAGGTGTGGATCTCCTCTAATATTTCTTTGTTAATTTTTTGTTTATGTAACTGGTCTATTTGTGAAACTGGGGTATTTATGTCATGCACTATAAAAGTGTTAGTGTTTATTTGGTTTTTATGCTCTGTAGTATCTGTTTTATGAGTTTAAGTGCACTGATATCGAGTGCATGTATATTTGCAGTTGTTATCTTTCTGTTGAGTTGTTTTCTTAACTAATATGTAGTGACGTTCTTTGCCTTTTCTTATCAGTTTTAGACTGAAGTTTAGTTGGAGAATAAAACTGCTATCCATGCTTGGTTTTACGGATGCTGTTGCATGAAATATTGCTGTCTGTCCTTTGATTTTTCATCAATAAGTTTCTTTTTGGACGAGATAAATGTCTTGAATGCAAAGACTGCTGGGTTTTTGTTTTTTGATCCAGTCTGATGAATGGTGTCTTAACTGGACAGTTGAAGCTCCTTACATTGAGAGTTGTTATTGAAACAAATTGTCTTATTCCCCGAATTGCACTTTTATCTGTTGTTGATGTCTTTATTTTTCCCATTTTGCATAACTACTTGCCTTGCTTGACATATTCATTCCATCTGACTTTTTTACTTTTGTAGGTTTGTTGTCTCTGTCTAGCATATTCTTGAGCACTTTTTGGAGTGCTTCTTTGGTGTTTATGAATTTCTTAAACTGTTCTTTGTCATGAAATGTCTTTATTTGTCCACTGGATTGGAAAGATAATTTTTCAGGATATACTAGTCTATATTATATATTAGAAAGTCATTTTCTTTTAGGAGTTGAAACACTTCACCCCTCTCTTAGTCTTTATTTTCTGTGTTGAGGAGTCTGCTGTAATTTTCATGGGTCTGCCTTTGTAAGTCATTTAGTAGTTATCTCTAATAGTTTTTAAGAGCCTATCCTTAGAGCCAAGTGTGGTGATGCATGCCTGTAATCCCAGCACTCAGGAGGCTGAGGCAGGTGGATCACTGTGAGTTTGAGGTTAGGCTGGGCTACAAAGTGAGTTCAAGGCCAACCTGAGCCACATAGTGAAATCTTGTCTCAAAAAGATACAAAAATAAACATAAAAAACAATCTATCCTTGCATTGGATCTCTGGGATTTTCACTGTGACATGTTGTGCTTTAAGTACTTTTTTGATCATGACTGTTCGGAGTGTTATATCCCTTTCTCATCTGTATATTACTTTATTACCCATATTTGGAACGTTTTCTCCTACTGTTTCTGTAAACAGATTTCTTGCTCCATGTAGCTGTCTTCTAATTTCTCTCTAACTCCACTTAGCCTTGGCTTAGTCTTCTTAGTGTCACCTAGTAGCTTCTGGGTGACTTTTCTTACTCTCATCATTTTTGAGGTTTCTCTGAGTATATCACCATGTGACCCATTTTTTTCTTGATTTCTAAAACCCTTTCTTCACATTGGTCAATCTTGATGGTGTGAATTCAGTAGAATTCTTTACCTCTGGAATTTCTGTTTAGCTACTCTTCATTAAGTATACTCTTTGGTGAATTTGTCACTCATGTTTTGAAAACTTTTGGTCAGCTCTTCCAATTTTTCCTTTCCCCCAATACTACACGGTCAGTTTCTTGGATGTTTCCACTACCTTTTGGGATAAATCAGCTGAGCTTTCTGAGTCTCTTCTTGGCTCTCTGGTGTTTGTTTTCCTCCTCATCAGTGCTGACTGGATCTGCTTGGGGAGAGTTGGGAGTCTTTGGAGGCATTTTATTGCCTTCCTTTTTCACGTTCTGTGTGTGCATGTGTGTGTGTGTGTGTGTGTGTGTGTGTGTGTGTGTGACAGACAGAGAGAGAGAGAGGAAGTTGTTTGAAGTCAAAAAAGAGTGAAAAGAATTTTTTGTTAATATGAAGATCTCTTCAGTTTGTTTCTATTTTTCAGTGATTTGTTCTTGACTTTACTTGTCAAGAGGTGTTTTTAACAATTCAACCTACTCAATTTCATTTGGTTGGACCCTGCCACTGTGCTGTAAGGGGGGAATTTCCACTGGTTATAACAGCATCACTAGATCAGTCACAACCATACATCAATCACAAATATTAAAACTTATTCTGAAAGCTTTCACTCTTTTGTCAGTAACCCTTGCAAACTAAATTATACTGCTATCTGTGGTTCATCTTGGATGTGGAGGGCAGAGGGAAGGAGAGAGTAATGGGCTATGTCAGTGGGAACACAGCAAGTTAAGAAAAAAGTCATTAGGTAAAAAATAGACAGGAAGTTGGACTCTGAATTATTTTTATACATGGGTTAAAGGGCTAGTGATGAGGGAGGTTAAGAGAAAATTTGTGTATGTGGGAGGAGTTATAGATTGGTTTAATATATTTAGAGATTGAGGGAGGCTATGAATTCATCAAAAGCTATTAGTATATCCAAATAGTTCTGATCTTCCAAGCCCAGTTTTGTTAAAGAATACCCTGACGTGCCCTTGAATTGCACTGTGCACATTACAGCACTGGCTAATTCTTACTCTCTCATGCACATATACAGGCCCTGTTATACCTGACACTAAATACATGGAGAAGAGGAGGAGAAAGACAAGGAGACAGGAAAATGAGGAAGAAAAGAAAAAAAAAAAGAATAGAGAGGAAAGAAAGTCTAAAGATAAAAAGAATCACTAGAAGAAGCAGTAGGTCAAGGAGAAGAATCTTAAATAATAGAGTAGAATAATAAACCATTACCTATGAAAAAGCCCAAAAAAAAGAAGAAATTAAATATAAAAAGAAAAATGAAAAAAAGAAGAAAAAACCAAGATGACCCAAGTCAAACAAACAATCAAGGAAATAACGACTGCAACAGCCAAAATAAAAATAGAAATAAAAGCAAAAACCTTTGCACAGTGTCACAGCACTGACCCAGAGCATCCACAACGGCTCCCTCAGTGCTGGAGTCACAGCCTGATTCTGAGCAGCCATGCAGCGTCCCTATGGACCTGTCACTGCCCGCCCAAAGCAGTGCAGGCCTTCACTCCCTCCAGACTTGTGTCCTGGTTGCAAGCTGTGCTCTTAATGTGACCCACCAAGGGCATCCGCAGATCCAGCTGCCTCAGTATATTTGGGAGGAAGAAAATGTGGTGCCGTTTGCCCAAATCCCAGTTTCCCAGTTCTCTGTCGACTTCTGCCAGAGACCTCACGCACTCTCACTTCCTTCGGAGCCTCACAGATTTCGTGGTTGTCTCTGTGTCTTTCCTACACAACCTTTCCTTGCCTGATAGGTGCCCAGAGGCCTCTGGCACAGTCACTCTTCACTGTCTCTCTGCTTGCAGACGCCTGTCTGTCACAGTCATATCTCTGGTACCGACGGCTGCCCCAGGCTTGGTAATGGGCCCCTTTGCCAGCACAGAGCAGTGGGTAGGACCTCAGGCTGTCTCAGGCCTTTCCAGTGCGTGCCATTTTGTCCCTCTCCACTGACCTGCTTTTGTGAAGTCTGAATCCTCACCTTGCATGTGCCTCAGTCTTCACGCCAGAGAAGGAGGGCTATTCCATAAACCAAGCCAACACTGAAGGGCCTTCCTTCCGTCTGATCCTCTCCCAAGACGTCATTTAGGTGGGTATGGGGAGGGGGCTGCCATATTACAGGAGTGGCCCAGTTTCCCCTCACACACTCCTGAAGTTCTGGATTTTAGTTCAGCTAGTTTCTCTTTCCATGTCAGACTTCATCTTCCACCCTCACCTCAAGGTACCTGCTTTTCTCCGATACCAATTTGGAGACACCATTACTGTCATCCCCTGCACAGCCAGCTTCTCTTCCTCAGGAAACATTTCCTCTTCTTCATTTTGCCATGAAATGAATTCCAAAAATCACTAATATGAGGTAGGAAGGCAGATGTCCGTGCTGCTGTGGGAATCCCTGCCTGTCACACAGTAAAGATCAGTGAGGATTTCTAACAGCACAAATACATAGCTAGCAGTGCTAGAACAAGATTTCCTCTCTCTCTTTCTCTCACAGACTCAGGGAAAAGCTACTTCCATATGAAAGGAGGCTTCAGAAAAGCACGTGTAATTTACCTAGCCAACGTAAATGAGGATGGGAAAGTGACTTACGTGCTGTTGGCCCTAGGTAGGTATGACAGTCGTGCCATTGGGGTAAGGAGTGGGATTAATGGGTTCTTCTCAAACCTGCTATTATCAAGCCGGATAGATAAAAACTAAGAACGCACTGTCCTATATTTATTCTGTTCAAACATCTTGAATGAAACACAAAACTGCTCAGAAAGGTATTCAGATGTTGGTCTTCAGGGAAATAAATCTTTCTATCCTCCTACCCTGCATAATCCTTGCCTCATGAAGCAACTTCACTTAGGGTAGTATTACTGGGCAGGAGAATTCTCTAAGTGATTCATATGACCTGCAATTTAATTTTTAGGTTGTTACTATGAAGAAATAAAAAAGCATTTCACACATCCCCTGCCCATGGGTGTCTGTGACAGCTGTATTCATTAACCACAAAAGCTGGAAACTACCTGAGTAACCTTTAGCAACTGGGTGGATAAGCAGCATCTTCTCCATCCAGGAAGTGAAATGTTACACTGGAATGTACCGCTGAGGCACATGTCCAAGGGGTGAAACTCTGCATCACACTGAAAGAAAGAAAGACAGCAGAGGCACAAAAGCTGCACATTGGGTGATTCCACTCACCTGCTGTTCTGGAAAAGACAAAACTCTAGAGAAGAAAAGGGTTCAGGCCAGGAGGGGATGTATGGCCATAGAGGCAGCTCTTGGGAACCGGCAGGGATGGAATCCACACATGCATTTTCCATGTCTTCATATGGTGGTAAGTGGGTGAGTATGTGTTTGTCAGAACTTGCAGAATTCAGGCTGAGAAGAATGAATTTCATTCTATGCAAATTCAAAAATAAATGTTAAAAGCCAGATGTGGTGGCACACGCCTGTAATTCCAGTGCTCAGGAGGCTGAGGCAGAAGGATCGGTGTGAATTCCAGCCAGCCTGAGCTATAAAGTAAGTTCAAGGCCAGTCTGAACTGCATAGTGAGACCCTGTCTCAAAGAAACAAAAAAACATTGAAAAGGAAGTTTAAAATCACTAAAATGACGTGATCGGGGAGACATTGACTCCGGCCAGTTATAACAGTCATCTCAAACCAGAGTTGGACATTCCTTCAGATCTCCATAGCACAGGAAAGAGTAAATTATCCTCAAATTCAGTGGTTCTCAAACTTGTTCCCCCAATGAGCCACCGAGGCAGGTTAACTGTAAAACGTACACAACGTAAAAGTTACTGTTTTAACCATTCGAAAGTGTGCAATGCAGCAACTTTTAGTCATTCACAGTATCATGCAACCACCAACTTTGTCCAGGTCCAGAGTGTTTTCATCACCCCGTAATGGCCATCACCCATCGCCATTATGCACTCACCCCCACACACACCGGCCCTCCCTCAGAGTCTGGCAACCACTAATTGGATCTGTCTTCATAGGTTGACTCATGTTGGACATTTCATAGAAAGGGAATCATACAATAAGTGGCCTTGTGCTTCTGGCTTCTTTCATTTGGCAAAACGTTATCACAGTTTATCCATGTGGTAGTGCATGGCAATACTTCATTTTACCACTGAGTGATACCTGAATTGCTCAAGCAAGCACTACTTTCTCTATTTTAAGAATGCTACCTTTCCCTTGAAGTCAACATTCTATTCCATCTCTACTAAGTAACCATATGGATGGGCTGGGGATTTAGCTCAGTGGCACAGCGCCTGCCTGGCAAGCGTGAGGTCATGAGTTCGATTCCCAATGCCAGAAAATAAATAAATAAATAAATAAATAAATAAATAAATAACCATATGGAATTTTGTCTCCTAATTCAAGCCCCAGCTCCAGACCATGATCTGACCCCCAATGACTATATGCATTTCAAAGAAACAATAAAAGAAATGAAGATTCCAGAGAAAAATCTTATTAAAATCAGTGGAACAGGTAAATTACCACCTTCTTTTTAGTGTATTGTTCATTCAATAAGAAAATATGATGTTAAAACATCAATTGATCCTACAGTGGAAAATATATTTAAGTTTTCAATGGAGGGAAAAAAACAGTTCACCATGTCATCTCTCTTTCAGATACCTGTCCCCATGACAGAAATTAGGTAAGTGGATATTCATTTAACACAGATTCTTCCTGAATTCTCTTAGTAGGTAAAGATGTTTAATAATCAGGGGTCGACACAGAAATTCTTGATCCTTCAGTGATATTGTCAGACTTCTTGCCAAAAGTTATTATCCACCTCTTAGCCAAATAACTGGACTTTTACCATCAGGAGAAAAACTTTTGGTTCCTGAATTCATTTTGGTCTTCAATTTCACATCCATAACACAATTTTTTTTAACCTCATAGTAAAAATACAGAAGGTTTCTTTTTAGTGGCTCTCTGAGGATCCATGTTTAGATAAGAACTTTAGAGTCGGAAGTTTTTTCTTTCTGCAGTTCTTGGGATTCCTGGGTGTTGCACACACTAAGCAAGTGTGCTATTTCTGAATTTCTTAAAGTGCATTGGAGGAGGGAGATCGAAAGTTACAAAGGCCCAGTGGCTCTTCAGAATTTACTTGTGACTACTCTCTACCCCTGAGTTATCAGTGGCTGTGGACAGAGGTTGAGGAAAGAACAGCAGACAGGAAATTTTCCCCTCAAGGAATTAGTAAGTGCCAGAACTTCTTCTAGAAGATGTAGATGTATGTACTGGTGGGTAGCTAGATATAAAATTACACAGGCACATGGATACCATGTAACTATAAATTAGGTGCCACATTTTTATTGATTTAAGAAGTCAGAAGACTGAGGTGCAGGCCCTGAGGAAAGGGTAGCAGGTGCCGTGACTGGCCACAAACGTGGTAAAATGAAGGCCCGGAGAATGTGCAAGAAGCAGGCCGGGGAGACGGATGAATAACGTAAGGCTTTCAAATAGAAACTGCAAGAGGAACTGAAGAAACGCCAAGAGCTCAAAGCTCAGCTCACAGGGAAGAGACCCGGCCACAGGCAGAATTAAGAAACATGGCAAAAGTAAGCAGCTCATGCTGCCTGAGATGAGGGTGACCCTTAATTCTATTGCTGTATAAATATCGAAATATCTGCCATCTTGTGCCACCTGTAGCAAGAATGAAGTATTGTCTTGAACCTTGTTATGTATTTAAGCATAAATTTTTGTTTTAAAATTACAGAGGCAAAAAGAAATAAAATTACAGGGGAAAAAATAAAAGGCCAAAGAAAAGGAAGAAGGAAGGAGGGAGGGAGGGAAGGGAGAAGGGAGGGAAGGGAGGGAGACAGGGAAGGAGGAAGGGAGAGAAGGAAGGAAGGAAGGAAGGAGGAAGGAAGGAAGGGAGGAAGGGAGGAAGGAAGGGAGAAAGGGAGAAAGGGAGGAAGAAAGGAAGGAAGGAAGACAAGCGAGCAAGCAATCAGGCAGACAAGAAAATTGAAAACACTTCAGCCCCATCACCTAAATTTACTTTCTTTATTTTTTATATGTTTGCAAAATATAATAATTATGTTTGTTCTGGGAAATTTGCCACATATGTAAGTATCTTGATCATTTTTTATCTCCTTTCCTCTCTATGCCCCAGCTCCAGATCCCCTTCCCCATCTCCAAGAAGTGGACCCCTGCTTCCCACCAATTCTCTGTTGTTTTGTTCTTCAATTTATTTGTGTTACTGATTTCTCATGTAAGAGAAACCATACAATATTTTAATCATCTAACAAAAAAAAACAGGAAAAAATACTATTTAGCCTTCCACATCTGACTTCCTTCATTTAACATTATGGTCTCAGGATCCATCCAATGTCCTACAGATTGCTCAACTTTACCCTTCTTATGTCGGGCTAAACTCAATTATGTGTACATACCACACCTTCTTTATCATTACATCCATTCAAAGAGCTCCTAGACTGCTTCCATAATGTAAGCATCGTGAATTTGTGCTGCTGTATACATAGGTAAGCTTGTATTGTTGTAGGTTGTCCCTTCCCTTTTGGTTATTCCTTTTCCTGTTTGGAAGATTTTACATTTGTTATAATCCTGTTTGTTGATTCTTTATATCTAATGCAGTTCGAAGTTTTGTTCCAAAAGTCCTTGCCTGTGTCTTGTGTTCAAAAGTTTTACATTTTTTTCTTTGAGCATATTCAGTGTTTCTATTTTTGTATCTAGGTCTTTGACTCATTTTGATTTGTTTTGTAGTACAGGATGAGAGACATAGTGCTAAACTCATTCTTCTACACATGGGTACTTAGCTTTTCCAGGACCATTTATTAAAGAAACTATCTTTCTTCCAGCTTATGTTGTTGGCCCTTTGTCAAGAATTTGATGGCTATTGGATATCAGATCCCAGGATTACATGGGTGCTTTTGATCACCTTAGGCACTTTTCTGATATGACCAGTAATGATTATGTAACAGCAAAAGACCAGCTATAAAACAAAATCAGAGATTTAGTAAGCAGAGGTTGTTAGAATTCCAGTATGTAAAAAGTTTTTTCTGTTCTTTAATTTCCCAGATACTCTGTTCTTAAGGGAATATCATTCCCATGGAACACATTTAAAATATGTAACAGCGTGCTATTCAAAACTAGCTGTCAATGAGTATGTCTAAGCAAATTGAGTGCTACTTTTTTGTCAAGCCGTTCACATGAACAAATACTATTGATGAGAAAAAAAAGAATTTGATGGCTGGAAGTATATAGGTTTTTTCTGCATCCTCTGTTCTATTCCATTGGTCAATGTATCTCTTTAGGGGCAAGTACCATGCTGGGTTTTTTTACTGTAGTTTTACAATATAGCTTGAACTTCAGGATTATTATGCCTTCTGTTTTACCCTTGTTACCCAGGTTTGCCTTTGTCATTCTGTGTCTCTTCTGGTTCCATATAAATTTCACAATTGTTTTTTCTAGATTTGTAAAAAATGTGGGTAATATTTTTATTGTATTCACAGTAAATGTGTATCATTTTTCATTAATGTGGCTATTTTGACAATATTGATCTGCCTGTCCAAAACAAGGGAATGTCTTTCCATTTTCCAGTGTCTTCTTCAATCACCCTTTTCAAAGCAATGCAGTTTTTATTATACAAGTCGTTCACTTCCTTGGTTAGGTTAATTCCAAGGTATTTAATTATTTGGAAGCTACCATAAAAGGGATTGTTTTACTAATTTTTTTTAGTGGGTTCATTGTTGGTGCATAGAGATTTTACTGAATTTTCTGTTTTTGTTCTGTATCCTGCCATTTTGCTGAACTTCCTTTTAGTTCTAAAAGTGCTCTGGTGGAATATTTTGGGTCTTCTATATAAGGAAATATGTCATTTGCAAATAAGAACACTTTAACTTCTTTTTTATAAATCCCTTTTACTTCTTTCTCCTGCCTTATTTCTCTGCCTAAAAATTTGAGTGCTACATTGAACAAGAATCATGAGAATGTACCACTTGCCTTGTTCTTGATTTTAGAGGAAATACTTTCAGCTTTTACCCACTTATTATGATGTTCAATGTGGGTTTGACACAAATGGCTTTTATCAGTGAGATAGAGTCCTTTGATAACTATATGCATCCGGTCTTTTATCATAAATGGATGTTGATTTTGTCAATCTCTGTCAAGACACTCTGCATCTGTTGAGATGATCATATGATTTTTCATCCTTTTGTTTTACAGTGTGTTAAATTTATTGATTCATGTATATCAAACCATTCCTGCATCCCTGGGATGAAGCCTATTTGTTCATGATGCATATTTTTAATGATTTGTTGCATTCTGTTTACAAGTATAATGTTGAAAATTTCCACATCTAAGTTCATTCAGAAAATTAGCTTGCAGTATTCCTTTTTTGTTGAGTCCTTGTCCAACTGTAGTATCAAGGTAAATGATGTATTCAAGGAACGAGTGTGGCAGTGTGCTTTCCTTTTCAATTTCATGGAAGAATTTGAGGAACACTGGTATTACTTCTTCTCTGAATTTCTAGTAAAATTCACCGGTGACTCCATCAGGCCCTTGGCTTTTCTTAGTTGATGAAGTTTTAATACTACCTCCATTTCATTGCCTCATATTGGTCTGTTCAGGGTTTTTATGTCTTCTTGATTCAGTTTCAGTAATTTATATGTGTCTTAAAATTTCTTCTAGCTTCTCCAATTTATAAGGTTTTGTAATATTTTCAGATAATCCTCTGGATTTCAGCTGCATTCGTTGAGATTTCACTTTTTTCATTTCTTGGTGCATTTGTATGAATCTTTTTTTTTTTTTTTGAGACAGGGTCTCACTCTGCAGTTCAGGCTGGCCTTGAATTCACTATGAAGTTCAGGCTGCCCATGAGCTTGCAGCACTCCTCCTGCCTCAGCCTCTTGAGTGTTGGAATTATAGGTGTGAGCCACCACACTCAGGTATATGAGTCTTTTCTTTCCTTCTTTTAGTAAGTTTGGCTACGGGTTTATGAATTGTGTTTATCCTATCAAAGAAATAGCTCTTTAAGAAAAAAAGTCTCAATTCAAATCCCCTTTCTGAACAGCTGTGTCATCATGGGGAAGTTATTTTATTTCTCTAAGCTTGTTATTTGGTGTGGGTTAATGAAATAACAATAAGTACCCCATAGAATTATTATAAGAAGCAAATAAAATACTATATGTAAAATAAAAAAGGAAATAACTCTGATCCTTTGATCTCCTCCATATTGTTTTTAGTCTCAATTGCATTAAGTTATGTGTTCATTATAATTTCTTCCTTTTTACAAGTTTTTTATTTGAACTGCTCTTGTTTTCCTAGGACCTTGAGGAGCATCATTAGACTATCTATTTGGGCTCACCTCTACTTTTTTATATGGACATTCTCAACTTTAAACTTCCCTCTTAGGATTTCTCTCATTATATCCCATAGTCTCTGATATGTTGTA